AAAAAAAAAAAAAAAAAAAAAAAAAAATTGTTTAGTAGTAGAGAGAATTACTTAAAACTTAAATCCACTACATTCAAACAAGTTTTTAATGTACACATTAATCCTCTGAAAAGAAACAACATGAGCTTATTCCCTAAAAAGCAAAATTCAACTATATTCAAGAAATGTTAAGATTAGAATTTGTTTTCTAAGAGACATGGACAGAAGAGTTTGTTTTCTAAGAGACATGGACAGTTGTGATAGTAAACAGTTTGTGCATAGTTCTGGAAATAGTAAAGACTTAATACTAACTAGGTTAAACAAATCTCTTTTCCTTACAGAAATGTGGCACAATGAAAAAAAGGGGGGTCTTGCACTATACTGTGGTTTCTTTTCCCTGAGAAATATGGCCCCTATGTGTTTACAAACTGAAATAAATAGCAAATTTCATTCCCAAAGGTCTCCAAATATTTTATAAAACCCCAAGGATTACTTGTTTTTCCTATTTTTTTCCTTTCATCACCTTTGTAACACTCTAACTACACTGTACTGTCCTCCCTTTAAGTGAGAGTAGGAAAGCCTCCTTAAAGAGGATTGGTAATAATTTTAAGGGATAAACAATGGGTAACATTACCAAAACATATTTAGAAAGGGCTTTCACACAACTAAGCACATTTAGTATTTTTAATGTTATCACAACTGAAGAACCTAATACATACTTCTATTACGGACTCCCCAAGATCATCACAACTAATATTAAGGAATTTAATGTTTTCTAGGAAAGTTATTCTCTTATATAAGAAACAACAATATGGAAAAGAACTCAGAAGCATGGCATCTACAATTTTCTGTAGAAACATACTTCTTCAATAACCTGTTTTCTCCCCTCAGATTTATCAAATAAATGCTTGCTGTTGTTTTACACTGTTACATCACAAGTTAGCGTCAATCTTCAATCTACTTGATCAGAAGCACAATGTTCAGCATATGAATCACTTTGCCACATGCATCCTAAAGATGCTAAAATTATTTTATAATGAAGCATTTCCCCCTCATTAAAATTTTGAAACACTGGTCTTAAAAATCCCAACCACTAAAATAGTCTAAGAAAACTATAGATTAATTTTACTTCTCATCACTTCCTCTAGAATTTTTTGTTGGATACATATTGAAGGTTCCACCCTTCCCGAGATCACTGTAAACAAAACCATCTACAAATAACTGAAAAATACAAAAAATAATTTAGGTCATTAAATAAACGCATACGAACACCAAATTCAGGTGTTGTTCTGCTTGAAAATGAACCATCCATGAGTTCCTGCCACACCAATTTCATTTCCTAAATGTAATATTTAAGAAAACATATTTATTTATGCTTGAAAACATTACACAAGAACTAATGACTAAAAATAGCTTTCTCTTTTTTACATCAATTCAACCATCTTTAATTTTGAAAACAATATATCAATTTAATTAACTTCCTGATGAATGTCAAGGTAGCACAAAGCTGTTGTCTTCCATACTGCCTTGCCTTGGACTATGGCAATGGAACTTCAAGTTCAAACCATGGCAGCAGAGCGGTGACAACAGCAGCAATTATCTCTGCAGCACACTGCTGCTTATCTAGCGAATATTCAGTGAAAGGGGTCCACTGGAGAATGACTGATGAAACAGGAGTAGACAGCTACACCCTACCACCCTTGCCCCTAGGAATAGAGAAAAGTAATACAGGAGGACTCTCGCGAGGACTAGTATTCTAGGCTTAGTGGACCAAACCAGGTTATTTCAGGAAAATAGGAAGTGCTGTGCACTACGACTAAAACGCCTTAACAAAGCGTAAGAAATGAAAATGTAACAGCTCTAAATTTAAGTGTTAAACAGAAATAATAGATGTTTTTAAAAGAATCCTGACAGCAAGCCAGTGCTGCTACAGTAAAATCCCCTCCTCCTGTTACAGCAAAAACTCCAGGACACAAATACGCAGCCGTTTCTGCAGCGAAGCAGACAGAAGTAACATCTCAAGAGCTACTCCGGAAACAAACCTCCAGGTCCCTCCACTCAGCTGGTCCACGGAAGGCCTCACAACCCACCCTCCACCTTGCTCAAGGCGCTGGCAAAAGGAGTCAGCATCGAGTTCTCGAAGCGACCAGGGAGCCCAGCAGTGAGGGCTGGAGAGAGAAGAAACTGCTTACTTCCTGAGGGCAAGCCTCGAAAATGGCAACTCGAGAGGCCAGCGATGCTACGGCTCATCTCAAGCCGACGAGAAGTCCAGAGCCAGCGCCGAGCGCTCCGGGGCCAAGAAATCACAAAATTCTTCAACCAGCTGGGGAAAAGTCAACAAAAAACATCAGGCCGAACACTTCAGATGTCCAGGAGCCTACGTGAAGTTCCCACAGCTCACGTTAAGTTTCAACTAATTACACAGCAGCAGTGGCCCTCGGCCCCCAAGCCCGGCCCGAACACGAAACGCGGGCGGAGGAAGGGGCTGCGGGAACTTGTTTACCAGAAAATGCGCCGGGAAACGAGGACCAAAGCGAAGAAAAGAAGGAAAATAGGAGGCAGCTTTGATTTGCACGGGGGATAAAACTGCTAGACAAGCAGAAAGTTCAAAGTGGGAAAGCAACTCGGAGGCGCCGGGGGCGCGGGGCTGTCAGGAAGCGGGGCCCGGGTGCGGGCCCAGCCCGGCCCGGGCTCGTGCCCCCCGCGCCCGGCCAAACTTGCGCGCGGCCCGCGCCCGGCGGAAGTCGCGCGCCGGGCCCCTCTCCGCGGACCCCGGTCCCGCCGCGTCTCCGCCTCCCCGGACCCCGACCCCCAGCCCAACTAAGTTCCCGGGCCCTCCGCCTGCGGCGCGGCCTGCTCGGGACAACAGGTGGGCGGCGGCGCCAGGACGGCCTCCGCAAGCCAGGCCCGGCGCGCTCCCCGCCGCGGCTCCGGGCGCCGGCTCGGGCGGGAGGGAGCGCGCTCCCTTACCTCCGCCATGTTCGCCGTCCTGCCGGGTCACATCTCCGCGCCGGCCGCAGCTGGGTCACGGCCGGAACCCGGATGTGAGACTCGGCAACGGGACACAGCCGCCGCCGCCTCGCCGCCGCCTCGGCGGGCACGCGCAGGAGCCGC